GGTCCGGAAAAGTTTCCCTGAGCGCCTCCTCTGCTCCGCCGACACGGCCCGACGCGGACCCCTCACCCCAGTGATGACCCCACTCCAGGTGAGAGGTCCGTGCGGCGCCGGCGCGGCGCGGCGGCCGCCACCATTAGCGCCTGCTCAGGTGGCTGTCCCGGTCCGGGCGCCCATCGCCTCCTGTCATTACGCGGTCGTCGCCGCGCCCCGGTACGCGTTAGACCAGCCGCCGCGCTCGGCGTGGGCCAGGGATTGGCGACGGCCGGCGCGCGCCAGAGTTGGCCCTGGTTTGACGCGCGCCCCGCCCGGCGAACCGTCCAGAGTTGGCCCCGGTCTGATGCGCGCCCCGCCCGGCGAGCGGTCTCCTAGGGAGGGGGGGGACGACCCAGCCGGCGACAGAGCGAGTGGGGGTGATGGGTCCCGGGGCGGCGGCGGACCGGGCGGCGTCGGTGGGTCACGGGACTGCGGCGGACCGAGCGTCCGGGTTTGGCAGCGATGGGCATCGTCTTGTTTGTCGCTCGCTGCCACCAGGGGAGAGGAGGGGGAGGGGCAGCAAAGTGCATTTATGTATATGGGGCTGTAAAGCGACGACCGTTCGACGAGCGTCACTGCCAATAAGAAAGGCCAGTGTTTACGAGCGTTACGATGAGTTCAGATGGTACACAGCCCGAAGTGGCAAGCTGTAAGCGCCGTACATTGAACGAAGTGACAGGCACGACCGTGGTCCATGTGACCCCATCCTGTTGTCTGTCGAAGCGGGTTTGTTATTGCTCCCATTCTTCCAGGTAATTGCTCACATATAATGCGAGTACAGCTGATGCTGCGTTTGATGGTCGTGCAATATCCACTTTGAGTAATTCGACTGTATATACTCACTAATGCAAGCACTGTACATGCATAAAGGAAACAAAATTAGTTGAATTGAAATGACGCCACCTTGGACTATGCCATCCCGAGCCGCAGTCCACAGCACGGTGGCGGGGTGCGCACTGGTTCCGTTACCTTCTGGTGATTGGCCTGCAGCTGCTGATGCTTAGTGGCAAGGTCGGTCAAGGTGTTCCTGGACTTGGCGGTCTCTCCTTCTTTAACCATGAGACTGTCCCTCAGCTCCCCCAGGTCCTTGGACGTGAACCTGCAGCGCACAGCGTTCTCGGCTGAGTGTTGAGCCCGCAACGTCAAACGCTCACAGCTCAGACAAAGATCGCGCGCGACAAAACCGGACAACGTTGAGAGCTGGACATGCAAAACCGACATCCAAAGGTCCAGCACTGAATCTGTGCCGCAATACTCACGCAGGCTCGACATCACGCCTGCGCCACCACACAGTCACGGGTTATGCGCTGAACCCACGCCACAGATCATCCACAGGCTGAGTACGAACCATGGTGGCGGCCAAGGTCAAGGTCAAGGTCAGTGCCCTCATGACTGAACGCTACACCGCGGCGATCCGCCAGCATCAGCTCGCGTGGGTCGAACAGCGGCACCTTCCTCGCAAGTGGACAAACTTAACCAACCTCTTCTCTGACCCGGGATGAATACCCCCCCCCCCCCTCAGCGCCGGCGAGATCTGCCAGCCGGCGCCGCAGGGCAGCCTGACCCCTGACCCCTCCCGGCGGCCTCCGTCTGCGGTCCTGCGCCCGAGTCCACCACTCACGAGGGCAGGTGGCGCACGTGGCCCAGATTCTTGCTGATGGTCTCCAGTGTGCGCAACACCTCCACCTCGGCCTGCGCCACCCCCTGCGTCTCGGTCGCCTTCGTCTCGTCGTAATTCAGCAGGAACTCCTGCATCTCCTCCTCCCGCCTCCGCAGCTCGCGGTACTTTAGGTTGCGGTCCGAGTTGCTGTCCTCCAGGTCCTACGGCAGTGGCGAATCGAGGTTTGTGCAGCTGTCTTTCGGGAAAATGCTGCGGGCGTCCACGCCAGAACACACCGTAGCTGAAGTAGGGCTATCGGTGCGAGGCAAATCACGACATGGTGCTATGTTCCGTACCTTGTCACACAATTCGGCCCCAGAGAATTCTGACAAGCGCGTCATTGCAGCCCGGCCATATCGCATCACTGCGCTGAGCTGGTTGGTGGCACGTGCTGCAATCGTGGTCTCTCAGCCCCCACCCCCGTCGGCAAGGAACAAGCGTAGCAACTCTCTCACTGTTTTCTATGCCGCAGCTATTGCCTTTTTATGGTGGCACCACACTTGGATGTGCAACAAACGAGCAACAAAAAGTGTCTCAACCGGCTAGCGTGAAGGGGGCTATTTGTACCAGGAGAAGAACAAATTGTTCGCATACATGATAGGCAGAACATTCACTTTTCTCCAAAATGCTACATGATTTAGAGGGAACAAAGTCATCTCCCCTCCCCCTTCCACCCCTGGTCGCCGGGCTTGCCTCACGAATGGCAGGTCTTTAAAATACACCCTGCGATCAGTGGACTGCGCTTAGCTGCAGCAGCCGTCAGCGACTCGAAGGGCTGGCCCGCCGTGCACCCGAGCCATGCGGCACAGTCTACCAGTAGTGATGTCGTCGTGTTAGGACGCGAGGTTAGATGGAGGGTGACGCCAGCCGGCGCCAACAGGTCAGAGACCGCCTTCACTGGAGAATGGGTAATTTCGGGGTAAGAGGTTGACGTTATATAAAGAACGCCACGGTCTACAAAAATGTACGGCACCGAAAAGAAGAATGTCACTCTACCGAATGTTATGAAAAAGAGGACACGGCGGCAAATCTGCCTTTTTTTCTCATGCTGGCGTTTTTCCTTCTTCTACTGACGTATTTTTTACAGGCAGCTCAGTTGGCGTATTGTGCACTGGGGCAAGGAACCTTTCATGGGCTTAAAGGCAACGAAGGGATTATGAAATTTGGAAAATGATATGGTAATTTGACACATTTTAAAAAGTAAGAGCTCTTAAATTGCATTATCATGAGCCCCCGCTAAGGGTGTGTTTTGTAGGGAACTCGCGGTAAAATGCGGTGTTATAACCGAAAACCTACGCAGCAATTGTGAGAAAACCTGCAATTCGATAGTCCCGCGGGCTGTGCAAGCGTGGAATCACATCTTTTTGAAATTTGTGTGTGAACCAGGCGCTTGAAATGGGTGTGGTCACCGGTAGTGTTTGCCAGCGATTGTATTTATCTAAACGTGATGGGAAGTGTGCGTACGAGGTATGCACTGCAGAGAGAGAATATTGCTTTGGTATTATTCAAGGGTAATTACTCCCAATAAATGTGATATGTCGATATCTGCCTGTATCTTTTTGTTTGCATTTAAACATGGTAGTGTGAGTGATGATGCCAACAAATCATAAGCCAAATCAAGTTATTTTGCAATTAAACCATTGAAATGGAACCAGTCAGGTATGTCATTGCATCACTACTAGGGAATATGGTAATCTCTGTCCTGCTGTAAGAAGTGTGGCCATCTGTATGTTGATAAACAAATTTAGAGATATTTTTGTTGGAAGTAAGTGCCCATACGGACTCATCTATATTGGTCAAAAGGCTTGAGCTATTCTGGAGCCCGAGAATTCATTTCAAAATAAGCACAGAGTTCCATCTTACAATGGGACTTTTCTTTTATGCCGTCCAAACCAGATACATTGCTTTTGTCAGTTCGCTGGTCACCACATACATTTACATCCACTCATTTTTGTGTTGACAGCATGTTGCTACAACTCTGAAACTGGGACAAGCAAAAGGTGAATTGTATAGCAGTAAGAATCGGCTTGCATTTCGTTTTCAAATGCTACGCCTGCGTGCGTGGACGCATGCCCTAGTAATACGCATGGTAAGGCGGTGTAAGTATGGTAAGGCGGTGTCTTACCTATGCTCTTCCCACAACGGAACGTAAGAATCATGAGGTGCAAGGACTGCATAACAACTTGGCTGGGACAACATTGGGGCATCCTTGGTTTCATTTCCCATCTCAAATGGTTGAAACCTCACTCGCAATGCACGAGTGCAATGCCGTGGTCGAAAAACGTCAGATGAGCTAGTTTCTTTATCCGACATAACATTTGTCCTCTTTTTACACCTATGATGCAGTGCTGCGCCAGAAGCTGTCTTACAGAGAGCTTTATAATACTCAAACGGCCCCGTTGCCTACTTTCTCGTGACGTATTTTCCGTGTTGTTTTTTTATCAGACCGCTATAATATTCAGTGACGTAAAATTGAAAAAGAGCGTCGACGGCGTTCTTATTTTTCGTAGCATTCGCTAAGGGTCGTGTTTTCGTAATGCGTAAGGGAAACTACGCTAAAAATACTATAAATATGACGAGCAGGAAGAAATGGGTCAGCCCTTTCCTAAAGCGCACAAAACTACGTTCTTCGTTCAAAATTTGACCAATTTCCTTTCCGAAGTTGAGAGAGCTTGGACCCACCAACAAAAAAGGAAGCTATACCCCAGTTTTGGGTGTGTGTCTTAGTCAATCAACTAAAACTAAACTGAGGAAGAACGTTCATCACGTCACTAAATTACGCAGGTGGTCGTGTTTTCCGACATGATTGGGGCCTGCCGTGGGCCCGACATCCTAACCACGAGACCCTTATTTCTCACCTTATTTAGCCCGCTTTATGTTTGCGAACGTCACTTTTTCTTTTGAATTCGTGCACCATTATAAAGCAATCCTTGCTTGGCAGCATAGTCCTCAGAGTCACCAAATAATCTCCAAAGAAGGCAGCCTTTTTGTGATAATTTCTGTGTTCCCCAGTTTCATAATTCAGCACAAAAAAGGTTCTGGAGTTCACATTTCCTGGTGTCTCTCCCCAAAAACCATTAGAAAGCACAAATCAATATTAAGGACGCTAGAATCATCACAGAAATTTACACAGACACCTCGTCAATTACTTACCCATATTGCAACCCAAGCAAAAACGATCTTCTATCCCAAACTTCGTCTGGAAGATCCCTAAAAAGAACATGAACAGTGGGAAGAAAAACCGTCGCTAATGCACCACGGGGGCCCACACATCGAAGTCTACCGTCAGCAAGACTCACGTTCTCAGTTATCTGCAGCTTTCTGAGGCTTTTCCAATTTCGGACTTAAGCTCGTGAATGCGGCGTTCCAGAGTTCCCATCTCCTGGTTATCTGCCTTCACCTGTAAAAGTCAGACCATAAGAGGAAACAATGCGAGAAGCGGCAGCGGTAAATGAGGGTTTGTGAGTCAGCCATGGTGCACCACTACCATTAGTTGGGCAATGCAGCCGCACCCCCACATTTCAGAAGATGAGCATGAAGTCTCCGGCGTTGCATAGAAATGATGCACTAAAAATGTAATTTGCATTCCCCAACACTGTTGTTAAGCCTCAAATATCTGGAGTTAACACCGAATGGGTGCAAAAACGCCAGAAAAGTGGAGGAAAGAGTGAATCTCATCACCCACTCAGCTCCTTCCATGAATCAGTGTAGGGTTAATGTAAAACTTCCACTGAATATGTACGTGTGGGGGAAGGGCGCGGTGTCAACCAGCCCCCATCCTTCCCCCAATTCCTACGACCATGGCAGCAGCAGCCGTCATGGCGGTGAGTCCGCTCCGGCGAGCAGAGCGGGGCGTCAGAGGAAGACTGAGTGAGCGGGCAGGAGAGGCCGGCATGATATGACAACAGCAGATGGAGGGCGGCGGTGGTAAGGTGCTTAGCGCGGACACAGCACGGGCAGAAGAAATGTCTGCAGCTGCCGGCGACAGATGCAGCGCGAAAGCCGCCGGCAGCGGACGAGTAGTGGGCGGCCAGCAGGCGGCAGCCAGCTGTTAAGAGCAGACGAACCATCCTGTTTGCGAGCCTGATGTGCGGCCAGTTCCCCAAAGTTGACCAAGGTGGCGCAGCGTCGGCAGCAGACGGCCCATCTGATGGCCCAGACAGACCGAGAGACGCCGAATCAGCCGCGGATGGAGCAGCCGTCCCTGCTGCCGACAGCCGGCGCTTTGATTGGCCGAGCACGCCGCCAATTAATCCTCAATTTCAGGCCTAATGAACACGACGTCGGGCGCCGCCCTCGCATGTCATTAGCTCCGCGCCTGCATCTGTGATGCGTGATGCGGCCTGCTTGGCTGCCAACCGTCCAGCATCTGCCGGTGTCGCGATCTCGCGATCATCTGGCGGCGTCGCGACCTCGCAATCATCTGGAGGCGTCACGATTTTCCGATCATCTGGCGGCGTCGCGATCTCGCGATCACCTGGCGGCGTCGCGATCTCGCGATCATCTGGCGGCGTCGTCATCTCGCGATCATCTGCCGGCGTTGCCATCTCGCGATCATCTGGCGGCGTCCCGATCCGCCCTCTGACGTCACGACCGAGCGCAACGTCCATCGGCGCGGCGGCTTATCATGAAAACCGAGACTTTATGAGACACGTCAAAGTCGCCGGCAGCTGCGACTCACGGGGTGCGACCCCACTGCCCTTTCAACGGGGCCAGGAGCACGTGCTCTTTTACCTCGGCCTCGCACACAAGTGTGCGGAGAGGGAGGCAAGCTGCAGTGTGGAGTCGCCGCGTGCTTGGCTTTTGCTGTGGAGTTCGGTGATAGCATCCCACCCCTCTCTCTAAGCTAGTCAAAACCTAGCATTTGCTCCTCCAACCGCGAAAGACAATCTAGCGTTCGTTAAGCCGTAATATATGGAAAAACCTGGTCAGAACGCATTCTGATCCCACCCTCTCCCCACCCGCCTCCAACTTCTGTAAGTTCCCGCGCCCTGCGCGCAGGTAACCTTAAGCGCCCCGCTCAGCCGTGGCTGCTCTAGGAGCCTCCTCTGCTCCAGCCTCATCGGTTTCAGGAGCCGTTCCCCTCTCCTGCCTCGCCCTTATCAGAATCCGTCCCCCCCCCCCCCAGTCTCACCTGCTGCAGGAGGCGCTCCCGCTCCTGTTCGGGAGTCTCGCGCGAGTTCTTCTCGTCCAGCAGCTCCATCCTCTTCGTCTCCAAGTAGCTGAGCTTGTCGTACTGCACGGCCGCTTCCTGCTTCAGCTGGAGATGGGCCCGACGCGGTTACGACCGCGGCCCGAGACCGCTACGACGCGACTCCCGGACGGTTACGACACGATCTTCACCGAACGTCTTTCGGCGGGGTCCGTAGTAACGCGGAAATGCCGGCCCCCGAGCAGCGCGAGCACGCCCGGGGAGCGACCCGCCGCGAGCAGCGAGCCGATGGGCGGCCGCAGTGGCCGGGCTACGGCTGAGATTGGCACCACGGTGGGAGTAAGGCCTCACCGCGCCGGCAGCACTGACATGGATGCCAAGGCGGACAAAAGAGCACTTAAGAAGCAGTGGGGAAGGTTTACAGAGACTTGAGTGGAAGCAAAAGGCAGGAAAGGAATGGCATAAAGGTTAAGTACGCTGCTGTGTGCTGTTATGTGGCAGAGCACGACATATGACCGGGATTTCCACTCAAGTTGAATCCAAGCTATGGAACAAATGTGTTTGCTTTCATATAAATTAACGCTTTACGCACAGATGCTCTTTATGTCCACCGGTTCTTTAACAAAGCACCAGCCACATTTCCGTCTCAGTGACGCTTTACGGCGTCCCAGAATGAACCCAGCCGTGTCTGCCAGCAGCCCCTCCCCGCTCCGCCGGTAATCCGGCCGGCAGCGGAGCTCCGGCTCGGTACTTAGCCGGCCGTCTCGGCGCCGCCGGGCCGGCGCTGCTTGACTGCCGCACGCACGCCGCTTGACCGTCGGATGGGCCGGCCTGAGGGTGCTCAGACAGGCCCTGGCCGGTGCTTGGCCGGCCGGGAGAGCGCCGCCGGTCGGCTGAGGACGCTTCCGACGGTCTGGTCCCACGGCGGCGTCACGGGGTCAGGGGGGTGGGGAGTGGTGGTCCGGCGCCGGGGTGGAAGGTCACTTCTGTGGGGGGGGGGTCTGCCGATTTGGTACGCGGACGCTTGCGTCTGGAGTCAGTAAAGCGCAGGGAGTCCATACGGCGGGAAAGCTGGACGCAAGCACACCTACCCACCGTCAAAGGCACGTGACAAGCGCTGTCCGATGAGCCCACCTGGTTGGCACAGTTCGGGACCTCTCCCCTGATGTTGCTGCTCGGCCGAAGAACGGGGAGGGCTGGCCGTTCTGAGCCGGTTCCGGGCGGTGCTCTGCCGCATCCGGCAGGGGGAGAGGGCGGGTAAGGGGCAGGGACGGACGTACCGGCGAGGCGGCCAGGTCGGCGTCCAGCTCGTTCTTCCTGGCGCCGAGCGCGTCCGCCTGCTGCTGGGCGTGCTCGATGGCCGTCTGCAGCTGCACGTTCCGCTCTTGCAGCCGCATGTAGCGGTCCCGCACCTCGCCGGGCATCGAATCCACCAGCGTGTCGGCCAGCCGCCGCTCCTAGCGGCGGCAGGGCAGGCGGGCAAGGCCGGTCAGAGCGGGCGGCATAGGTGGTCAGGAACGGGTGGTAAGCGGTCTGGGTGGCGGGGTGGGGGGCGGGTCAGGGAGGGGAAGGGGAGGCCAGAAGCCGGGTGGTCGGGGGGGGGGGGGTCCAGGATCGTTCGTCACGGAAGGACGGATTGGTCGGGGGCTACCAGTCCTGAGCAGCACCGTTCTGAAGCGGGGCTGTGGTCTCGGTCAGATTAGAGTAGGGGGGGGGGGGGGCGTTAGAAGCTGGCGTGTGTCAAATCTCACCCCGTGAGTGTCATTCACGGTTCTGGTCGCTCGCACGTTTGGGTGGTTTGAGTCCATCGGCAGAGGTCAGGAGCTGTTAAAAGGAACTGTCGAGTGATGACAGCATCAGACGGCAGGGTTAATTGTCATCAGAGAAGAGAAAACACGATCAGGTATACTAGATGTCAGGCTTCGACATGATCAGATAAACATCAGGATACAGGCCAATGCAATATACCAGACACAACATTCGTCGTTCAATCTTTCCTTCTTGATTTACAGTAATAAACACCAACGTCGCCTCTTCTGCTTGCAAACATCTTGTGCAATGTGAAGCGTTGGTCGCATCTAAACCCACCTGATCGATTTGGTTCTCGACGTCGTGTATCTCGTTTTCTTTTTCCTTGCGATTCATGAACAGTTTCTCAACAAGAAGTGCTTCCTTTCCGTTTCTAAGAAGGTAGACAGATGGGTGTGTTAGTAGTAAACAATCGCTCAATGTCATCTATGACGAACGCTCGGTCATTCTATACCACGGCCATTCGACGACTGAGGCTGGCTTTCATATTCAGGAGTTCGTGTTCAGACAGTGCGAACGGGTGTCGGCATTACAATTTAAGATAAGATTCATGATTCCAAGAACGCCGAAAGGAAAATCTCTGTCCATGAACATTTAACAGGCCGGGGAGCTCGTCCAAGCTCGAAGTGTCTTTGAACACAAAACGTCAGCGTTGTTGTCTTAAACTCTTGGAATGTCTGACTACAGCGAGGCAGGCCCCGGCCAGCACAGTATAATTCTCCTTGTCGACCCTCTTCAGCCACCACAGGCGTCTTCTGCTCGCTCTCACATCACGCCCAGTTCTCCGGGGCCTGGCCTGGAGAGCCGGCCGCCGCACGCACTCACCTGTGCCTCAGCTCCTCAAACTCCCCGTCCACTACCGACCGGTCCGAGTCCATGTTCATCAGCTCCACCAGCACGTTGTAGTCAGCCAGCTCTGCCTGATGCTCTGCGCGACAGGGAACCGACCGGATTACGTCACTGGTGCTGCTCCTCGCCCTCGCCCCCCTCCGCTGACACGGCTGGGCGGGCGTCGCGGACGTTACGGATCTCCTTCAAACATGGAACGGCAACTGTGCAGTCTGCCTGACCGGCCTGGAGGCTATCAAAAAGCTCGACAGCGCTCAAGCGGAATCCAAGAACTAAGTCCAGACAGTCCCGACGCTATGTAAAACTTGGCAGCACTCAAAGCGCCCTACTCAACGCACCTAGCGATGGCTGGCACGGCCACGTGCCGGTCACTGACTCGCCAGTCTGTTGGCCCGCGGTAACGGCCCCACCCTGCCCACCACACCCCCGAGCAGCTCGCCGGCCATCTCCTTGACGCGCGTGTCGTAGGTGGTGTAGGTGGCCTGCTCCTGGTTCAGCGAGTCCGCCTGGCGCCGCAGCTTGGCCACCTCGGAGCGCAGTTCGGACGTCTTGGTGCGCAGCAGGCCCTGCCGCCGGCACACGCGAGCACCGGTGACGTCACACCGCCGACGCAGCGCGTCATACACGACAATCTTTTGTCAGCTCCACCAATCCACTGTTCTCGGCCGGCTCGGCCCGGACCCTGCGGGACGGCCACCACGGCAGGCCCGGCCGCCGGCACATGCTAGCGTCGCATGTCACAATGACGTCACATCTCATCACGTCACTTCACGGCGGATGGTGCCACTGCCATCCCAGCGAGACCCGGCACCAAGACGCCACGTGTGCCGGTGGACTACTACGTGAGCCAAATTTCCGCGCTCCATGGATTCCCGTCACCCTCAACTCTCAGGTCAATGAATCGAAAGTAAGACATTAAAGTTGGAATCGACGCTAAGATATGACGTTGCATGACGAAACATTCTGTCTCTGCGACTTGTTTTATGGCCTTGTTGTACTGTAATTACACACACTCCATTCTACAGAAGTGTCGACCACGGGTATTTCATCGACTTCTACTTCACCCAAACGGAACCAATGAACACGCCGGGCTAACCTCAAGAGACCAATCATGATATGCCACTCAAACGATTTGGCAAGAAGGTACGTACGGAACGGTTGATCAATAAGATACATACAGCATGTGACATTACCATTTAGAAACAGGTATTACTACGCTTTTTTCCTCCTTTATTTCGCGTGCAGGTCCGCTATTTCCATCCCACAAGCTATCAATCCATCGCTGAATGATTAACAAAATTTTCAACTGGATGTGCGCGTGGATCCCTCAAAACATATGCAGTGATTCAGGATCCAGATCCTGTCAATGGAGGACCATATGGGCCCGGAATCCAGTCTTGTAATGCACGTTCACGTCAGCGCTCGAAGCACCACCCGGGCACCCCTCTCCGCTCTCCTCCCCTCACCATGAAGTAGCTCTTGTCCTGCACCATGCGCGAGCGGCCGCTGCCGGCCGTCTTGATGCCGGAGAGACCCTGCTGGGTGATGGGCCGGCTCATCACCCGGATCTTCTCCATGGAGCCGGTGACGGGGCGGCCCGAGCCCATGCGCGACATGGAGGCGCGTGACGCCGGCGCCTGCGTGGCCGGCCGGAACCCGGTGCCGGGCGGGCCGCCCACGGCGCCTGAGAACGGGCGGCCAGAGGTGCCCGGGCGGCCGTCCTGGCCGTCGCCGGGCAGGCCGTCACGGCTGGGTGGAGGCTGCACAGATGCGACGCTCAGACAGGTCGCAAACGGTCTCCTAAAGGAGGCAAAAGGCTGCGCGCCTGAACTTAAATACATCGCTGAATGCCAAACGCTTGCATTTTGCATGCGCTTCATTTATGTTGCGAGTCAACCAGTGCATACTTGGACAGTTTTTACTCGGTGAGTTATCTCACAAAAGGCGGAGATACGACCGCGGGCTCTGGCCGAAGCTCCGTTCATCACTCACCAAGTACTCCCTCGCACTCTCACCGGCACTCTGGCCGAGGCCGAGGCGTCACTCACCCACTGTGCGTTCTCGCTGAAGGACCGGCTGTCCTGGCCCAGCGCGCCGGACACTGGCCGAGACACGCCCGTCATGGGCGCGCGAGGCGCCGGCCGACATGCTCTGGAACGAGACGGGCATGGCTGCAGTGCCGGCGGACCCTCTCCCCACCGCGGCCGGCGGCTCTGCTCCGCCGGCCGGCGCGCACCTGGTCGCGCCCACGCCGCCGCCGCACTGCCACGGCTACCGCCCACAACACGGCCGACGTGTCCCGGCGGCGCCGTCTCGCCCACAGTACCACGGACGTTGCGACGATACATGCAAACGCGTGGTTCGATCAGCGGTCCACCGCGTGACACAAAACAGCATGAAAAAACTAAACTTAGTGCCTTCACGGCGACTCGAAGTACAAATGTGGAAACCGATGGGAAACATGTTTTCGGCCGCATTTGCTGTATGCATACGCGGTGCAAGCACCTAATAGGTGGTAGTGAGGTCGCTCAGCCATAATAGCTTTCTATAATGTACGCACACGCGTCCTGATTTACCAGAACGACGTTCACTTGCAGCAAGAACATGAACGTTTTGGCTAGCGTAGACAGATAAGTCGGCGTAGCATGTGGTTGTTCTTTTGTATCTACACACACATAAAATTGCCACAAACACACTACTAGCGATATTCGACGTGTTGCCCGAAGTCACAGTGAGAATATCAAACGCATCGTGATGAACTGTATATACCTGCATGTACACTTGTAAACAAGCTAGATGTCGAAAATCATGTCGGGCAACTGTGCAGCTTTTCAGCTTTTCCTCTCGAGTCAGCGTTCTAAAAGTACCTAAATTATCGGCACGGACCCAAGACGAACTGACTCTCTGGAATCGACGAACCACGACAAACGAACTGACCTCTGGAAATCCATGTGAACTATCAACCGTGTTCTCCGGCTTCCTCGCCGCAGATTGCGAGAGATTGAAACGTCGTGCAACGGCACTCAGAACACCCCTCGTCGACCGTTGCCCGCCTGACCCGACCCGACCTGACCTGGAGTCCGGAGGGCGGCCTGGAGAGGCCGGTCATGGGCCGCGAGCCGCCCAGGACCTGCTCTCGCCTACGCCGGTGGCGGGTCGGCTGCGTGCCGCGCCGTCTGTGGCCGGTCCAGGTCCGAGGCCGGCCGCACGGCTGAGGTGGACGGCCGGCCCGACGGGGCGTCCACGCCGGCGACGAAACCCGACGCCGGTCTGGCGGACGCAGCGCCGCCCGGTCAGCATTTATGTTGCATTTGGTGTTAGCTGACATTCCCATACATACGTGTCATACGTGTCCACATACGTGTCATAGTCTGACAGACAAAGCGGTATGTCAAGAAACAACGGAAAAGTGATAAGGGATAATAAGCACAAATGTATGCGCGATAGCAGAATGAGACCTTCCTTATCGCACACAAAGGACCTGGCAGCGCGCTTAAAAACGTACTGAGTCAGTTGTCGACACATCCCACAGGCAACTCATTAATGAGAGACGCCGCTCGGCGTGCAAATAACCGCTGTCCTGCCGCCGTGCGCACCGTACGGGGGGGGGGGGGGGGCGCAGGTTATGGTCCACGCGAGTAGTTCGGTCACTAGCCCGCGCTCAGCATATGTTTGAAGCAAACAGGCGGGAGCCTCAGGTCCACCTCGTTCACGGGCTTTGTGTGCAGCGATAACAGCTGATAACAGCCGGCGGATCGTGGGCGGAGAGCGTCCGGTAAATGTATGTGTGTCTGCGTAGCCGTGCCCCCTGAGGCCCGCAGGCAGGATGTGCATTGGGACACTATTAAACACAGTCTTTCTAGCATTGGTGCTTGCGTATGCGTGCGTGCTGGTAAGCGCGGCCATGCGGCTTGCAGCCCTACTCCCCGCAATCTTACCAACATTTCGGGCGCATGGTGGTTCCATAGTTTCCATGAGATCAGGTGCGATGAGCATGGCTGCTTTGAGCGAAATCTGTGATGCTTCGCAAGATTGCGCAGTTTGAGCCACGTTTAAGTATTGTGCAGGGGATTGTGATGAGCAACATGTGACTGTTTGGGTGAACATGTGTTGACCGGCATGTACAATGTACGGATTTTGGCTCTGTGCCTCACAAATGTCACCATCGAATGCCACCATGCCTCCATCGAACGTAAATTGACAATTCAGAACAAACAGCCTCGCTTCGGTAAACCATCACCCAAGGCTGTTGGACTGATGGCAGTGATACCTGTCCATGAAACAAAATTTTGTAGTATGCAATACTTTTATGCTTCCGACAGCTATGATGTTTCCGAGTCACAATAGCTACACGCATAACACTGTTCCGATAAGGTGTATATATCGCTTCGAATGAAGCAATGCTGGCTGATTTTGGTGAAACAGTGCGCACAACAGCAGTAAACAGTGATCAAATATTATTTAAGCGATATCTATAAAAAGGCAGTGACTTATTCAGTCTTTCAAATTCAATTCCTGCAAGAAAGAGCAGCATTGCGTGATGCGTAATTGGGTGAGAAGCACCGTTCGAGTTTGGAGTATGCCACGGTCAGCGCCTTTGATATAGTCTTGTATTTAAGTTGTTGAGGGAAATTGCTTTTGTCAATTCTATGCGGCTGATCTGTGCTCGTTTCAGTCTGAACCAACCTAGGGTTATCCAACTTTAAGACGCCTTGGTCGAAACTCGGGCAGATCACCACAGCGCGTCTCGACGCCAGACCCGGCCACCGCCTCATTGGGTGATCATCTGCACGCGCCGGTGGCGTCCGATGGTTGAACCGAAATTTAATGCAACTTTTCTCGAAAACGGTGTTGGCTAATACACATCTTAGGTGGTGTTCGGCCAGTGGCGTTTTACGCAATAAATTCAGGCTTAGATTCACGTGAGCAGTACTGCTGAACAAAGTCCCAACCGAGGGAGCTCGATGACCTGCCCCCTTACGAGTAAGCAACACGAAAAGTAGCATATTTTACTCCGCTTACTTACATCGTGGCAAGCACTGGCCCGATGCCCTCATTTCTCTCGCTGGTAATGTTTTATCTTAGGGCATTCATTCTTCAGCATCTTGGGCCGAACGCAAGCAAATGGTGTTTAAAAGATGCGCCGGTGTCCGCGTCGCACTGGAATGTGGCTACTGCATATGTTGCGACCACGCGCGGAAAATAGTTGGAGTACGTTAGGTTTATGAAACTGCGTCGTAATTCAAAGTGTCTCCAGCCCCTATGCATTGTCAGTATTATCTATCAGCTATGCACAATCACAACTACCAGCTATGTACCAAAACAAGGCAAAAAACAGGTAGGGATATCATGTAGGCAAGCTTCAAAGTCACATCCCTCTCAAAACAGAGAAGAAAAACGACACCAATTGAGCAGCAAGAAAATTCCACCAGTTTTTGGTGTCTTTAATGGGAGCGGGCTCCCTTGAAAAATTAAGTACATAACGTCATGTGGAAAATTTGGTGGGGAGGGGTAGGTGGATCAGCGGTACAGCAATTTGCTGCTACACCCCTTACAACATCCAAGCTGCCCCCTCCCCCCTCCCCAATCCGTTGACCGAATATCAAACCTGTCACAACGGCATGCGCCCGAAAGTCCGGAGCCAAGTCTCCGGAGACTTTCCTGGCCGGCTACCGCACACCAAATCTGAAGGCTCCGGCCCACACTGGCACTGACGGATGGCACGTCACGTGATCAGGTTAGCCGGCTCGTGCCTCCGCTTGACGGCACGAGGCGAGCTGCACAGGCTGGCCATGCGCTGCCGAGGCCGCTGCAGCACGGCGGTGAATGCAATAAAAGGCACCCACTCGCTCCGCTGAGGCCACAACAAGCTCCAAAGCATTACACCCACATCGCCCTCGTTACCTCGATTGTTTTTTTTCCTGGCATGAACCCAATTTGCAAAGCGAATGGGCAAAAAAGGCGCTCTGTGTGCGTGTCACACAGAGTGCTCCGCAGCCGCCGTGGGTGGACCGCACGGCTAGGAACGTCTGCGGCGCCGCGTCCCGTGCGCCGCGCTCACCTGGATCCGCCGGCCGTCTTGGGCCGGTCGTACATGCCGGAGGCGGGCCGGGAGCCGGCCATGGCGGCGCGGTCCACCAGCGGCTCCTCCCACTGCTCGGCCCTCCGGGTCACGCCAGGGCGACTCCGGCTGGCTGGTGCCCGGCCGCCCCGCCATCGTCATCGGACGCGACGCCGACACAGTCGTCAAACGGCCGGTCCTGCACGGTCGCCGGCGCGGACGGTGTTGTGAGAGGAGGGCCGCGGTCGCCATGGCGGCCGGGGCGTCGTCCGAGTCCCGCGGTCGCCATGGCAAACGGTGCAATCGGATAACACTGTCATTACCGGGGTCATGAGATCCGTTGATCGACCTAGTTTGATCACGAAGGGGAGCCAGCGACAATGTATGTACGCCCCCGGAGCCAGCAATCATACGCAGTTAGTTAAATCGCTGCGTGGTTTCTGCGGGTATCTCACGATGCCAACGCACCCATTCCCACCTCAGCACCACTGCCACCCTGCCGTCTTCAAGCGGAGACATCAGCGTGCCTTGCGGGAGGGGCGCCCGCGGACTCCATCGCACGCGGACGACCTGTCCGCTGTCCCGAGGCTCTCCTCCCCACGCGCGACATCCAGGGCCGGCCGGCCGCAAGAGGGGACCGACCGCGCGCGGGGTCGTGGCCCAGTCTCCGCAGCTCCATTGGACAGCTATGCTGTCCACTGTCCGGTCCTTATCGGCACTCCCAGCGGAGGGACGGCGGCCGCGGCGGCCGCAGCGGCGTCGGCGGCGCGGGCAACAGTCGACCGCGCGTGTCGGCGCGATCACCGAGGCCCGAGAGCGGTGGTTCGAAGAAGAGCAGCCTGGGAACGACTGTCAGTACGCGTGCGGTTTGCACTACGTTTCCTACTGCAGCGCGGATGCAGTTTGGGGTAAATTTCGGCTGTCACGGCCGCCGGGTCGGAGCGTCCCTCACTGTCCAGTTAGGTTATGTCACAAGGCTGTCATTTTGGAGCCAGCACGCGGGGTGAGGTTGCAGGGCCCACTCGCCCACCCAGATCCATGTGAGCCAGGCATGGATCTGGATGGGCAGATTCAGGCGGCAGTCAGAGTTGGCCGGGGGGGGGGGGGGGGACTGTGGTGGATGACTGTGGTGGATGACTGTGGTGGATCCGGAGACTGTGGTGGATGAGTGGTGCACATCAGTTGCAAATAATCAGTGCAGAAGCTATCAACCGTCTTTGGTGGCCAGAGCCACGATTTTGAATTGCCGTAAGAATTACAAAAACTAGACAACCGTACATGTGCTGCACCACGGGCGGCAGCAGCCTTGACACCATTCAACCAATTAAGTGGCACAAGTACAATGGCACCCATTTTCGACATGTATCCACACCATACACATGCATCCACACCAGAACAAAAACGTGGCTTCTAAGCTTTGATATCAAGTCTCATCGTGTTGAAGGAAGAATAATGTTGCTCTATCAACACTCTGACACCGGAGTTGGGGCAACACGGTGGTGCGGGTGAGCGAAGCCACCAACAGTCCCACTCGTCGATGCGCCGCCCCGTTGAAGCGGTCGAGACCCACCTGCTGTGCAGGGAAGTCCTCGTCATCCATGGGAAACCGCTGACCGGTCATGGGCCTGTTCTGCCCGTACACCGGATACCCGGATACGGGACGGCTCCCACCGACTCCAGTCATCGGTCGATCCACGGGAGATCCAGGATATCCGGAAACCGGTCTCGTGCCTCCACCAGCCCCACTCATTGTTTGATCTTCTGGGGACCCAGGGTATCCGGATACAGGACCACCAACTCCAGTCATTGGTCGATCCGTGGGCGATCCAGGATACCCGGACACGGGTCGATTTCCACCAGCTCCAGTCATTGGTCGATCCGCAGGCGATCCAGGATATCCGGATATAGGTCGATTGCCTCCAGCTCCAGTCATCGGTCGATCCGCAGGGGATCCGGGATATCCAGATACAGGTCGACTTCCGGCAACCCCGGTCATTGGCCTGTCCATCGGAGAACCCGGATATCCGGAGATCGGTCGTGCTCCCCCGCCAACTCCAGTCAATCGGCCGATCCATGGGAGATCCAGGATATCCAGACACGGGGCGACTTCCACCGACTCCAGTCATTGGTCGGTCCATCGGGGATCCAGGATATCCAGCAGCGGGACTTCCCTCTCCGCCAACGCCGGTCATCGGGCGATCCATAGGAGATCCGGGATATCCGGATACGGGTCGATTTCCGCCGGCTCCAGTCATTGGTCGGTCCATGGGAGATCCGGGATATCCAGACACGGGACGACTTCCACCGACTCCAGTCATTGGTCGGTCCATGGGAGATCCGGGATATCCAGACACGGGACGGCTTCCACCGACTCCAGTCATTGGTCGGTCCGTCGGAGATCCAGGATATCCGGTAGCAGGACCTCCCTCTCCGCCAACGCCGGTCATCGGGCGATCCATAGGAGATCCGGGATATCCGGATACGGGTCGATTTCCACCGGCTCCAGTCATGGGCCGGTCCATCGGAGACCCTGGATAGCCGGAAACTGGTCGACTTCCAGCAACTCCAGTTGTTGGTCGATCCGAAAATCCTTCCATCCCTTCAAAGTGACCTAAAAACGTGCAAAAACTTGATGATGGCAAATGTGCCCGCACCGAAGTAGCACGACAGCCAGTATCGCACCAGGATGAAGTGGAGAAGTCAGCTAAAATGATAATGAGATGTGGCTTTTGTACGTCTCGTGCAACTGCCCCGGTTACCCTCATGCTTAGTTTCATATCCTGTTACACTGACCGTAAGGCTCGAAACGAGCATTATCCTGTCGTCATCGTCTATCGCCCGTAGACCCAGTCAAAATGGATGATAAATGCGGGATAAGACGGCCATCTCATCATACTTAGAACCCAGATGCTCCTCTGCCCGGGAAGGACAAGAAAGATCGCAGGGAAATCAGTCAATAGCAGTTCTGCAATGCTTATTACGACCTTTTTAACCCGCATCAAGTCGTTGTGGGCAACAGAACATCAATGAAAATGTGAATCCACCCTCCGCATCAGCTGCCGATAAATGCCCACAGGCGCCGTGAAATCCTCGCGCTGCCTCCCGCGCACTGCGTGCATGTGTCGCTTCCCGGCCGACCCCACGCCGCACGCCCGAGACAGCCGCGACCGACAGCCTTCCCGCCAGCGTCCGTGACTGGACTCTGAAGTATTTGCATGTCGTCGGGCTGAAATGGTGTCCCCCTTATTGCAGCACGTGCCAGTGAAATGCCAGCGATAGAGACTGTTGAGGCTGCCGATGAACCGAGCACTTGGCCAAGAAAGCCGGGAAGTGTCTCGATGTGAGCAAGAAGGGTCTCAAGCCCCTCGTCTAGCAGCACGCGACTTTGGACTTCTTATGCTGACGAAAATCGACCCGGTGTATGCCAGGGGTGCTGGTCAAACGACGCGATCAGGCAAACATTGGATATGTTGTGAAAGCTCGACGTCTTAAGCCGGCGGGTCACGGTCACGGTCACGGTCACGGTCACGAGTGTGATTCGTGACCGTGAGCACGACTTGAAACGGCAAGTCGTGACCACATGGCCATGTATGTCTGAATACGTTGTTTAACCAGCACCCCCGGCATACTGCAGACCGATCGCTGTCGGCATGAGAAAATTTCAAACTCATGGAGCTATAATACAATGTTCTCTCCTTGACAATCCTGACACGGCTGCGACGGCAAACCGACGGCCGTCCCCGCGCTCACTGCAGCTAGATGTTGACTCACAGACCAGCCCCCGGCATACCTGTGGGAGGTCGGGACTGTGACGTCATGGGCCGGTTCGGGTCGTACGCCTGAAATCCGGACACGGGCCTTCCGGCGGCGCCGGTGCCGGGTCGGCTGAAGCCGGACATGCTGCCACCTGCCGGCAGTTCACCGCATTCCAGTGCCTGATAAACAGTAGCTCACAGCTACCCTCAAGCGTGTCATGTAATAACGAACAGATCTGCATCGTGTGCTCGGGTTTTAACTCGAAACGGGCATGCTTTGGTAGCAGGGGTGCTACAGGACGGATCGCCCGGCGCCTTACATCCCCATCTCTTGGAATGTAAGGGGACGAGGCTCGTTCACAGCGGTGGTCTATAGCAGTAATCCCGCCTGTGATGTTATCCGGTTTCGCAATGCACGCATTTCGAATTTGTAGCCTATGGCGATTATGTGCTGCGCTATTGCGAGAGTATTTTCAACAGCATCCAATCCACTTTTGCTTCCATGCTCACTGAAATCCTCCAGAAGTGCGCAAGAGAGCGATATGAACAGCAGGCAATGTATGCACACGCGAGTACGGTAGATGTAAACCCTTCCAAAGCAAATTCAGGCAGGTGATAGAGAGCATGCACACATCAGAACAACGTTTCCTACGGCAAATGCAGCTTGTAACTGAAGGACTACACACACATACACACGCGCGTGTTGGTCCGTACGACTAGCACACCAGACACAGGGTGTTTTGTCCCCCGCATATATGCCTTGCCAGCGGTACACGCTGACATACATTCTGAGCCCACTTCACCGACACTCACTCCGAATTTCAGAACTGGCAGCCTTACACAAGTCTTACCGTTTTCAGCGCCCTTTCCAGGTGACAACACTGTAACTGGAATGCAGTCAGGGCTCAGGGTATGTTGTGCTCCGTCACCATGGCAACGCCGAGCGCCCCCGCCCCCCCCCCCCCCCCACCCCCCTCGCGCGCCAGCCGCCCCGGTCGAAGCGCGCGGAGCCTATCGCGAAGTGGCGCCGACCGGGCCACGTTCGGAGAAAGCCGGCCACAGGTGCGCCAAGCGAACTTATCCAGATCAGCTGCTATTTCGAAGGGCTGTGCGCCTCCAGTTGACGCCAGATGGGGCCTCCGAGCCCCGAATCGGGGGCGGGTCGGGCGGGTAGATCGGAGGTGTGGTGTTTGGGAGTCCCGTCCGGTGCGACGCCACGCCCGCACCCGCCGCCACTCAGGTCGATGTTCATCGCGTTACACATGAATTTATTGATTGCTCCCTCATCAGGCGTTCGCTACTAATTGGGAGTTACATGCTAGTTACATTATATCTTCCCGCTGTCGTACCTTGTGTATTTGCTGGATCAACCACAGGGTAGGCGCCTCGCCGTTGCAGTGCTCCAAATAGCATCACTTCAGCGCCAGAGGCCGAACCGTGTCGAACCTCACGTCGCTGTTTATCGTTGATCACTTCTAGCGGTCACTTTTCGTGCGCACATCGCCGGCCAACACCACAGAAAACGAACGCTGGAGAAAGTACACATTTATATTGACGACTGTATGTACACGTTTCAACAACGAATATGAAGCCGAAGAAATAACGCACCCACATCGATGAAGCACTCGTGCTCCATCGATGGAGCACGAGTACTAGAGCACCATCGCTCCACTTACACAGGCGATCTAATCCAAACGTGAACAGAGCAGCCAAATGAAGATGAATGGCTGAGATGGTTGCGAATTGAGAAGCCTAATACCTCGGTCCAATGTACGATGCATGATGTCACTGAATAAAAAATAAAAGAATGCAATCAGTCCATACAACCAATCCAGCCAACACAACCACTGCGACAGACAAGCGGTTGAATAGCAACCTCCATAACATGGCATGTTCACACGCTTCTCCGGCCGGCGGAACGTGCCACGATCGTCCCGGGCAGCGGTCCGAACAGCGCCGCTGGCGGGAGGGAGCGTCCCTGCCGCGGCGCCGATGTCATGACATCGTCCCACCGGGGGTCAGGCCCGGACGCCTCGCCGCGTCGGCGCAGCACGGCGTCCTCCGACGTCAAGCACGGCCCACAGCTGGGGCAGCGTGCCGCGGCTCGCCGCCGCCCTGCGGCACCGCGCTGGGGAGTGAGATCACCAGGCGCTGGCCGGCCCGGCCGCACCGGCCACCGCCGCGTATGTACAAGAGCCACCGCCGCCGCCGGCCGCCGGCCTGATCGGACCAGCTGGCCGCCACTCGTCACAGACGGGCGGCGCGCCGGCACGACTCCAGAGGCGCTTCAGCGACTCCGGTGGGACTCCAGTGGGACTCTAGTGGAACTCCAGAGGCGCTCCAGCGGGCTCCAGTGCGACTCGGACGGCGGCTCGGACGGTGCCCCAAGCGCTGGAGCTCCAGCCGCGTTTCCGTGCGTCTCTGCGGCTGCTCCAGCCGGAGCATTGGCGACGGTCGGCGTCACCGCTGCCGGGCCGGCGCCGGCTCAGGCAGGCCGGCCGGCGGCGCCCGACAGCGTGAACACCTCGTAGTCGGCCACGTTGAAGCTGTAGTCGCCGAAGAGCACGGCTGACGAGGCGCCGTCGCCGTCGTACGAGTGCGGCAGGTTGGAGTAGCTCTCGCCGGACGTGTTGGAGCGGTCTGAGATGTACAGGTCGGCTCCGGCGCCGAAGATCGGCCCGCACCTGTCGGCCCGGACGGGTCAGTGGGGTCCGCGAGGTCAACGGGAGTAAGCACGGTTAGTCGGGGTCATCGGGGTCAGTCGGGGTCAGCTGAGGGCGAAAGCCTCACCGGCCGTCAACGCAGCCGACCGCAGTGACATAGGTTTGCTCCAGCTGCGGACTCAGTTCTAGGGATACTGAGAACTGTATCCTTAATTACTATCCTGTAACTAAGGATGCAGTTCTTTCCTTGGCGCATGTAAGGATAGAACTGTACAAACAGAATCCACCGTGGCGGATAAAGCCATAATAAGACTGGCTAGAAAAGCGACACCTTTCGCCTGTACAGAGCACACAAACGCAGTACCCTCGGCTGCAATCCAAAACGGACCTCCACAACGCACTAAAACACACCATATCAAAGCCACACGCGTCAAAACAGTGCATTACAGGTGCCGGAGTCCCGCCGAGCGGCCTTTGAACAACACATCAGCGGGGTGGCGGACACCGGCGCGCGCGGCCAGCTCCCCGCAGCCCCGGCACTCACTGAGGGTGGTAGCAGACGGCGTACATGCGCTTCTTCACGGGAAACCGGGTGGGCAGTACGCCCTGGTTGTTGACGAGCGTGAAGAGGAAGGCCTCGTCTGAGTGGATGAAGCGGCCCTTGTTGCCGCTGTTGACCCAGGGCACGTCGCTGAAGCCGCCACACAGCTGGCCCTGCTCGCCCTGCCGGCGTCAGACGAAGACACCCGTCAGTCGCGGGTTCGAACCCCGGTCACGGATCAACGGACTCGATCCTGGTCATGGACACCCCGGCCCCGACCCAACCGGGTTCCGACACAACGGACGATCCTCTGGTGCGACACATCACGTCCGGAAATCCCCGTGCGCCGCGACATCCTCAGAGCACAACAGCGCCTCTTCCTGCCTGAGTACCGACTGACCCCTTCCCAAGTGTCTGCCGCCGCCGCAGCACGCTCTCGACCCAGCCGTCCGCACGTCCCCGACCCGGCGATGGCGCCCCCGCCAGCCGTCCGTCCGCACGCTCTTCACCCGGCGATGGCGTCCCTCGCCGGCTATTACGGCCGGCGGCGGCCGTCTAGCGACGGGAGGCGGCCTGGACAGACGCAGGCCGACCCTTCGCTTCGGGCCGTAAACCCGCCGGCGCCGGGCCGGCGTCGCAGATATCGGCACAGGAGGTCACCCGGCGGGATCGCCCGCGTCCGATCGCACGGGAGCCGCGAGTCCGGCCCCCTTGGAACGGCCTACGCCGCGGCGGGCGTGTGATAGGGCGTGGTCAGCCGCACAGGCGGCGAACTCTGCTCGGTCAGATGGCCGTCAGATACTTCAGCAAAAGTTTCAGATGTTTGAGCGCCGACAAAAGGCTGACATCTTTCGGCTGCTGATGTTAGCTCGACGGCTCCATAGGCAGGCAGCTGACACCCATCAGCAAACCGGATGACACCCCATCAGTAGGCCGGCTGACACCCCATCGGCGGGCAGGCTGCCATCCCATCAGCAGGTCGGTTGACACTACATCAGCAGGTCGGTTGGCACCACATTAGCAGGTCGGCTGACACCACAACAGCAGGCCGGCTGACACACCATCAGCAGGCCGGCTGACACCCCATCAGCAGGCAGGCTGCCATCCCATCAGCAGGTCGGTTGACACTACATCAGCAGGTCCGTTGGCATCACATTAGCGGGTCGACTGACACGACATCGGCAGGCCGGCTGACACCCCATCAGCAGGCCGGCTGACATCCCATCAGCAGACCGCTTGAAACCTCGGCTGCTGATGTCAACAGCCGTCAGCCCGTGCCCGTCTAGGTCATCAGGAGCCTCACTTGGACGGACTTGGACGGCGGCAGCCGGCCTTCGTTGCGGTCATTAGTCGGCCGCCGCGGTCCGATCGAGCGCCCCCCCCCCCCCCCCTTCCCCTGCCCGATCGGCCCCGTCTCGAGCGGCGACTCGTCAACAACGCGAACGGTTACGGCCGCGGCGGCCGGACGGCACCGCAGGGGAGACAGAGCCACGGCAGTCGCAGTGAGAGCGCAGAGATGAAGACAGCGGCCGCCAACTGCCCGCACGTCGGTGGCTCGCCACTGAGTCTCACGCGGGCGGACCGCGACTGATTCCGGGCGGGCCGGGCGGCTGGGTCACCGCGGTCGGTGGACGCCAATAGCTGCCAAATAAGCAGGAAGCAACACATGGTTTGTAGACTTGCCGTCTACAAACGCGCAGGCAAACAAAACACATCTGTCTGATATCCCAGCGCCTAAAACCCAAAGCGCCATGTTCGACTACTCAGGTGTCAGGTCGGGAGGCTGACCGCATCACGTGCAAAAACGGTGCACGCGTGTCACCGGCGCGCGCGCGTGTGCCTTGCCACACAGCCC